CGACATGCTTCGTTCTACTATGGAATTCAGGATTCTTGATTAGTCTAATTGCACTCTGGTTGTCGACCGTCGGTTTGGTTATGTGCTGCTCGATGTCTTTCAATAGTTGTTGCAGCCAGATTGCTTCTCTGGCAGCATTCGATGCAGCCACATATTCAGATTCGGTTGTTGATAGTGTAACACTATTTTGTCGTCTGCTGGCCCAAGTAACAGGTCCACTACTGATTTTGAATACATAACCAGTAGTTGAGCGTCTAGTTTCTGAATCACCAGCATAATCTGAGTCTGAATATCCAGTCAACAGTGATATACTGGATGTTTTCTGATATCTGATGCCATAATCTGCTGTTCCTTTTAGATATCTTATGATTCTCTTGACTGCATTCCAGTGAGCGTTGGTATGTTTAATGAGATAACGACTTACAACTCCCACTGCATGTATTATGTCTGGTCTGCTTACTATTGCTGCAAACATAAGAGATCCAACTGCTTGTCGATAGGGAACTTCGCTTTCATCGAGATATGGCCCAGTTTCTATGGATAAGTTGCTATGTGGATCCAAGGGGGTACTAACAGGATTTGCATCTTCTAGTGAAAAACGACTTATTAGTTGTCTAATATAACTAGACTGACTAATGAAGATGGAATTGTCGAACTTGTTCCGTTGAATTTCTAATCCCACATAATAATTCGGTTCACTCGTAGTTATTTCAAATGTACTTTGTAGTTCGGATAAAACAGTTTGTATTGCTTCTTTACTTGAGAAAAAAATCAATCCATCATCTACGTAGATCACCAGTAAAACATTTTCATCATTAACATGACATCGATAAACGCATTTATCAGCTTCTGATTGGATAAACCCAAAATTACTCAGAAAATCGTTGAATTTCTTATTCCAGCATCTTGGGGCTTGCTTTAATCCATACAACGACTTCTTGAGCTTGTATACTGCATCATCTTCCATATCAGTAGGAAGTTTTAGGTAAATGTCTTCCTCAAGGTTGCCATTAAGAAATGCCGTCTTAACGTCAAACTGCATCATATCTAAATTGTTTTCTACTGCAATAGCTAGCAAAACTCGTATCGAGTCATACCTGGTGGTTGGTGAGAATATCTCTGAATAATCTACACCTTTGGTCTGAGAAAATCCTTTTGCTACTAGTCGCGCTTTGTAGCGAATTATAGAACCATCAGGGTTTCTTTTAACTCTGAATACCCACTTGGAGTGAACTGGCTTCTTTCCTGGTGGAAGTTCAGCTTGCTCCCAAGTGTTATTCTTCTCTAGAGCTGTCAGTTCATCAGAGATTGCTTTTTTCCACTCTTCTGAGTCTCTTGAAGTCAATGCTTCTTTATATGTAGTAGGTAAATCAACTTCGACTAGGTTGAGTTCAAATTCGTCAAACCTTACTGGTGGATGAATATTTCTTCGAGATCGTCGTCCATTGAACTCTTCCTCTTGCTGTCCTCCATTATCTTTTTCAATTTCAGGTTGTTCACCTTTGTTTTCATCCTCCACTTGTTCTATAAGTCTAGGTGAAGCTGTAACATCATCATCATTTTCAGCGTCAACTGCTACTGGAACAGTGTTTGGTCTGTCTTCGAAGCCTTTCATGTTTTCGTTGAATATTACATTCCTGGAGACTAGAATCTTTCTTGTTGATGGTTCATATAACCTATAGTTTGTTGAGTTATTGTCGTAACCAACAAGATAAAGTTTCTTGCTTTTCGCATCAAGCTTTGTGCGCTTCCCGTCAGGTATATGTACAAAGGCCTCACTTCCGAATGTTCTAATGTGTCCAAGAATGGGTTTCTTACTGGTCCATACTTCATACGGGGTGGAACCAGGAGTCTGAGATGTTGGAGTTCGGTTTAGTATGTAAATTGCTGTATTCACTGCTTCCGCCCAGAGGTATTTTGGCATTCCCGCGCTGTAGAGCATCGAACGAGCACTTTCGATGATTGTACGGTTGTCCCTTTCTGCTCTGCCATTCTGCTGAGGCGTATATGGTGCAGTGTTCTCCATCTCAATTCCTTGGGCACATAGATAATCCTTCAGGTTCTTGTTACAGTATTCGGTGCCATTATCAACGTGTAGCACTTTGATTGAACTACCAAATTTATTATTTACCTTATTGCAAAATGCAATGAAGCATTCTAGAACATCGGATTTGTGTTTCACGAAGTAAGCCATACGGTAGCCGGAACAATCATCTTTAAAAGACAAAAAGTATTTCGAGCCTTGTACAGAAGCTACTGCCATGGGTCCACATAGGTCGCTGAAGATGCGCTCACCAAGTTTCATCTTTGGATGAGATATCTTCTTGAATGGTATTTTATGCTGTTTGCCGTATGCACAACCTTCACAGAAGAAGTCATCCACGTCACTGAAATCGACACCTTCAACTAATCCTCTTGATACCATTTCTCGGATGGATTTGGTATTAATATGACCAAGACGTTCATGCCAAATTTTCAAACTGTCTTTGCTGACAACATTGACATTTAGAATGACTGTACGAAATAAAAGTTTATACAGGTTGTTGTGTTCCCTTATAGCACAAGCTACCAGTTTATTTTCATGGAATATTCGTGCTTCATTACTTTCTTTGACGATCTTCATGCCTTTGATGGTAACAACTCCTTCCGAGAACAAATTCTTGCGTAGTTCTGGTATATAAAGTACATCATTTATTGTTGAGTTGAACCATTCACCATCAATGAGCTTCTGAATTTTCACAGTACCTTTTCCTCTAACAATTAAGGATTGATTGTTGCCCAGAATCACTGTTCTATCGTTTTCTTCAACAAGAGTCGAAAAATATTCTTTTCGGTGACACATATGAGTGGATGCACCACTATCGAGAATCCAACAGTCATCACCAAAGTGCATTTCAGTGTCCTCTTCAACGTTGAATGCCGTTTCGTTACTATTGTTGGCACTACCATTGAAGTTGACTGAGTTATTTGAAGTCCTAGATCTCGTGTTGTTCTGATTACTTCGGTTCCTTTTTGGTGATCTGCAATTCTTAGACAAATGACCTTTTCTGCGACAATTGTAGCAGTAAAAGTTGTTTCGTTGTTGTGTCTCTTGATTTGTACTCTTGTTAGGTTTGCTGTGCAACGATACTGCTGCTAGAGCTGTTTCTGTTTCTTCGTAGGAAGTCAAACATGCTTCTTCGTCAAGAAGACGAGCTGTTAGATTGTGGATTGTCTGTTTACCTTCGTCGAGTGACAACCAGGCCTGTCGAACATTTCTGTACTTCATAGGCAAAGTGCTCAAAATTTTAGTCATGATAGCCGTGTCACTGATAGTTTCTCCACATTCCTTAACTTGTCTGGCAAGATTTTCTACTTTTGAAACATGTTGGGCTACTGAATCATTGGGGTTCATTTTATACTGGTGAAATCTTTCGTGCACTAGCATCTTGTTAGTGTCTGATTTCTGCTCGTAAATCGAGTTGAGCCGATCTAGCATTTCTTTTGACGAGTTGCAGCTTTCAACTAGAGTAATTTGGGCTAGATCCATGGCAGCTGTTATCAGGAACATTGCTTGTGCATCCTTCTTCGACCAGGTTTCAGCGTCAGCGGGGGAAGCTGGACATTTCACCGTACCGTCCGCTATTCCAAAAAATCCCTTTGCTCTTAGAGCACATTTCAATTGGAATTTCCATTGCGAGAAGTTCTGACCGTCGAACTTATTGATATTGGTCACTTCTATTTTATCTACCATTTTTGTATCGTGTTGCAAGTACTAGTAGAAGGTGTGAAACTTTTGACTCTACTCTTTCTTATCTGCCGTATCTACAGGTCGTATCTGGGCCCATAACCTGTTGCGAGGATCACTGAGACACGGTTTTCAGCAACAGTATTTAATACAGTGAATGATGAATTCACTAAATAATAATGATAGATAATAATATGTTGTCAAATTGAATATCTGACACATACGTAATTAACAACTAACAGTTGAATATACAGGAGCATTCTAGATCCATATCTATACAGGGTGTTAATCAATACATATACTAGAACATTGAGAATAAATTCAACAAAAAACAATGATAATAATGATACTTCAGAACGAATATGTAAATATATATATATATATATAAAAATAAAACTAAAACTAGGGACTATTGGGGAATGCATATGTATATTTATGTATATGCCAATATGTGATGCTGATGGTAGACAGTTATTTATTAATTATAACAATACTAGCGTTTCAGTCAACAGCCACTGTGATAGGCTGATAGTTTTGATAAATTACTTGAGAAAATCAAACATGACACCTCGCAGGGATTGAACCCAGATATACAGACCACTCAGCTATCGCTTCACTCGTAGTACTCGTAATTTCTCAATATAAAGAAGGAAGAAATATCATGTGTTGTCCAATGAACGGTGTTTATATTGCATTGAATTATACATTATCTTAAAAAAACATTCATATTTCAGTAACGCGTGTAACAATTCCGAAAATTTTCCCACAGTATCAAGGAAACATATGAAGCAATATGTTTTTGACCGCAAAAAAACAAAGAGAAAAATGTTTCTCTCAAACGGGAGGCGTTTGAAATTTTTGGAAAAATGCACAGCTTTGATTATCATCCTGTAGAATCTTATCCGGAAAAGATGAAATAGTCATATCCATAGGTTCCATGAACAATGAAACAAGCTTTCAGAAACTGAAAAATAATTGGAAATTGCTTGAGGAAATCGAAAGTTTTGATGATTCAAATTTAATCGAAAAAATGTTACGTTTCTTGTGCTGAGCAGTTTATTTCACAATTTTTTCTTCGACTAATTAAAAGTGAATCACTGTTTTCCGTTCAACTGAAATACCATATGTATGTCGAAAACGAATCGTTAAAATACGGTCTAACGGAGTTTGAACTCCTTAATAAGAACACCCTGTGTAAACTGTTCATGCAGTTTATTTTCCACAAACGTTTGCAAATCAAGCTTTGAATTATTTGAAAATATTAAGTACTCACATTCAAACATCGAACACAGTGCATTTTTTGATTTTTGTCTAGTACAGTCTGCAACCAAAACTCGTTATCAACATTGATTTTATGTTCTTTCATATATAAAGCACACCACTTTTAGTTGCTATTTATCTAATCTATCATTGCTCTCTTATCAGCATGAATATACCGACTAAAGTCTATAAGGGAACACAGTTTAGCAATTACAAAGTAGTCACCCACCAATCGTTATTGATGTGGTGATTGATTTTTTTTTCTTGGTAAATGCCGGGATTTTTATCTTCGAAACTTCCTGGTAGGCCCCGGTAATGTTATCTGTTTGTCATTTGCTTATCAACTCATCATTCATGTGAAATGACATAGAAGTCCTGCCCGTTCCAATTCCAATTAATTTCTGATTCATGGAATGATGATTTTTTCTGCCAGGTACTCAAACAACGAAGAATAGTTATTTTTGTATCTAGAGCGCGAAATGCTACTTTGGTGATCGAGATCTGATTTTTTTAACGAGGCGTAGCCGAGTTAAAAAAATAGTCGAGATGACCAAAGTATTTCGCGCTCGAGTTGCAAACAAAATTTTTTCTACAAACGTCAAATAATATAGTTCTAAAGTGAAAATATGCTTAGCTTGATATAAAAAATAGTGTTGAACTGGCTTAAAAGGTCTCCCCCTATCCTCCCTAGGTACGCACGATGTTCCACGAACATAGTAGGAATTTCCTTTCGTGCGCTCCAAGAGAAAAAACAAAGTTATTGTTGAACAATCAGAAATAAATGATTTTGTGGATGTCTGCTCGATTGAGGACCATAAAGTTGAAATATAAATATCTCATATATGTTACATAACAATGCGCGAAGTAGGTACTTCGCGCACTGTTTTACTTCGCGCATTGTTTTGTGCAAGGAATTATAGTATCGTAGGAAACTGAAAAAAAGTGTCACTTCGCAATTTGTTATCAATGCGCGAACCTTGTCATTTTTTGACGTTTGTAGAAAAATATAATTCTTCTACAAACGTCAAAAAATGACAAGGTTCGCGCATTGATAACAAATTGCGAAGTGACACTTTTTTTCAGTTTCCTACGTTACTATGATACCTTGCACATAACAATGCGCGAAGTAAAACAGTGCGCGAAGTACCTACTTCGCGCATTGTTATGTGAAATATATGAGATATTTTTAATCCAACTTAATGGTCCTCAATCGAGCAAACATCCACGAAATCATTTATTTCTGAATGTTCAACCATAACTTTGCTTTATATCTTTTTTTAACTCGGCAACGCCTCGTTAAAAAAATCAGATCTCGATCACCAAAGTAGCATTTCGCGCTCTAGATACAAAAATAACTATTTATCTGCAACCGACAAAAAAGTCGTCCATTTTGATATCAGAATTATCTCTTGAATTGACGTTTCTATTACTGAGACGAACATAGGTATGTTTTTAGGCAACACTTTTAGTTCCCATTCGCGAAAGTGGAACTTCAGCTCCTAGGAACTGAAAAGGATGTACTAGGTCATCAAGAATAAACAACCCAGACAGCACCAGATATTCCATGAATCTCCCTATCATATTCCTTTTGGAATATTGGAATATTCTAGAAATAATCTGGAATATTCCGGAATATCTGTGGAATATTCTCTAAATATGCGAATGGGAATTCCTCAGATAATCATAGAATATACCCAAAAGAATATTCTATGTTGAATGTTCCTGGAATATTCCAATAAACATATTCTAAAATAAAAAAAAGTGACCCAAGTAGGGATCGAACTCGTGACCTCAAGACTATCAGAGCAACGCCTTGACCACTAGGCCAGTAATCGAATTGAATAATGTTATACATATCAAGTTCTTGTGAGAGCATTGTTCGAAATCGGATCATAAACACTTTTTGTTTCAAAATCCCCTTACATCTAATTGATGTTCGATACTCACATCTCTGAAATAATAAATGGTATTTATGTGTTGAGAAACATAGGAACATTCATGGAATATTTCATGCATATACACCACAGAATATTCAGTTGAGAATATTTCATGAATATACCGCACAGAATATTCAGTTGGGTATATTTCATGAATATACCGCACAGAATATTCAGTTGGGTATATTTCATGAATATACAACAGAGAATATTCAGTTGGGAATATTCCTGGAAGATTCATACCTGAATATTCCCTGAACATGTCCGACTATTCACTTTGGAATATTCCTTTTAGATGTTCCAGAGGCATGTATATATTCTAGGAATAATCGATGAATATTCGGAATATACTCCTCCTTTTTAGCATATTTAGAGAATATTCTATGAATATCCAGTGCTGTCTGGGAACATTGTTATGGTTAGTCATTTGGGTTGGGACGCATACCTGATTTGTTCCCGATTTTGGCAGATTCAGCATTCCATACCCATGCTGGAGATATGAATACACCATATTATAGTTGGGTAATTTTGTCTCGATCAGGAAAGCCTTCAAGATTGACATACTTGCTTGATCTGTATTTTATTCATAACTTGTTTTTGAATAATCCCGGCCAGCAATACTTTCTTGTCTCACACAACGATATTGTTCACCTTCATTTCATTACCGAGCCAAACACAGTGAGATATGGAGAGGAAAAATGAATAATCGTTTATATTATTGTTGAAATGCTCACAAACCTGAATCAAAAATTGCGACATGTAAGCCGTTTTGATCGATAATGAATAGTTTCGACACAAAAAATCTTAAAATTGAAAAATCTCGATTTTGATCACCCTATATATCTCTGTAATCATCCCTGATAGACCCTAAGTGTGATGCATTGATGGAATCAGCTCTTTAGTAGGAATCTGAAAATGAAATAAAATACAGGGTGTTCTATTTGAAATAACGAAGTTAAGGTCCACTTCCGGTACGACCGAAAGTGCCACAATCTTCAAAATATTTTGGTTGGATAGCACTTATCAACAATAGTGAACTCCCAAGTTTTCAAATTCGGCCCATCTATGGTTTTCTATATATTGATCGATGCAGTTCCCGGAGGGACATCCTGTATATTATGATTGACAAAGTTGTGAAGCTTATTCTCTATATAATTTAGTAAAATTGTTAGAGTTAAAATTGTAAAAAAAATCTGAAGATGCAATGAAACACGGGATATCTCATTTGAAGAAATGAAGTAGTATTCTGTCATATATCCAGACTTTTCTGCTATATGGGTAAAGTATAGTACGTATATAATACGAGTTGTGAAGCGATTACGCTTACGCACTCATGGGATCACGCACTCGTGAGTCATTTTTCGTAATATGCCTTATTAGTGAATCACCATGTTTAAATATTTCTGTATAGTTGGAAATATTTTAAGTATGTGATAAGTAATAGATTACATCAAATTTGAAGCCTATTGAATCATAACAATATGATATTTTTCCTAAATGAAATGAGATAAAGTGATATCATAAAAGGTTATACCTATATACTGCCACTTGGCGCCCAAGGCACTATACAGGGTGTTTCACAGGTGAAGGGAAATATTTCAATGGTAGATAGGGGTCACCAAGGTGGTTCTGAAAATACCATATTTGATAGGTCTTAGAGTTTTCATAACGGAGATACAGGGCGATTTATCGATTTCGAATAATTATTCATTCGTCTATAAGTATTGAACTACCCAGTATATTTTTCCAAAATTTGGTATGGATCTTAAACTTGGGACGTTGAATTCATTCACCTATCGGGCGAAGAGAAAATCCAGGTTCGGCTTCAGGAAAAATTCACATTTATTCGAAATATTAAAATAACACACTGTATGTAATAATTGACAGAGTTCATCAAAGGAATCGTAAAGAGGAGGACAAACTGAACTGGATTTGATGCTTTTTGTTTTCCCGCCACCAATTCTCATCGTAACAATCATAAACAGAAAGCTGGAAGTATGTCAATTTGAAGAGTATTGAAATTATGAAACCAGTGTCAATTATGATTATTCGATATATTTTGGTCAAAAAATCGCTCGAAAGAACTTACTAAGTCTCACAGTTTTTATAACGGAGATACAGGGTGAATTATCGGTTTTGAATAATTATTCACTCGTCCATAAGTATGAAACTACTCAGTAACATTTTCTCAAATATGGTATGTAGCTTACTTGGGACGATGGATTCATTGACCTATCAGGCGGAATTATAATTCGATAATTCACCCTGTATAAAGACTATGAGACTTTTCCTGAAGCTGAACCTGTATTTCCATTCTGCCTGATAGGTCAATGAATCCATCGTCCCAAGTAAGCTCAATACCAAAGGACCCCGCACTTTTAGTACGTAAAATGGTTCTCGGTGAAATTTTCTGAATTTTCAGTATGTTGTAGAATTCGATGAACTGATTGAACCTGCAGAATCGTAAAGTTCTTTGATGAACAGATTCTGAGATACAGGGCGTTGAAGTTACAAATCGGTATTTTTCATTTAATTATTATCTCGAAATTCAAAGATGCCAAGTACAATTTTCTTCGCTCATATCATTAACGAACCTCCATATTACTCAACATAATTCAGATGGTTCAGATGATGTAATTGTTTACAGAGTGAAACATATAAACATTTCAGTGATGTCTGAAAATTCGATGTAATAATGAAATATCGAAAAAATAATGTAGGCATGCAATATACTATTCTCATTCCATCATGAATCACAATTCATACATTTCATACAGGGTGATTCGAAAAATTGGTGACACCTAAGACCGATTTATTCATACACATCCTGTATATTCGAGTGAATTGTTAACCTCCCAAGATAGCTGATACCGTAAGAACATGATTCCGTTGAGATATATAGGGTGATCATGAAGATTTTCGATGATGAAAATAACAAAAAATCGTGTTTTTTAAATCACCCTGTTATTCATGATTAACTCGGTGAAATTCCCTAATTATTTTTTAATATATTCATCATTCGCTTCTTAACGCTGTCTTGAAAATTCAGTTTCCTATCATGACGGGTGAACATAAATGTTCACCCTGTATATGAATACTAAACTTATTTTCGTCTCCACATTCTCACGTTTCACTATTTGTGAAAAATATCGGCCACTATGCGAATGTAAGTGAACAAGTCTC